GGTTTTCCACGTCCCCCACTTAGAGTCAAGTGAGTGGACATATTTCTTGTTTCAAAGGTCACATTTCGACCAAAGCGGCTTGCTCTTTCCCCTGGGTGGGATACAAGAACTTGGGTGGGAGAAAAGAAATGGCTTCTGCTAAAAGAAAATCACAGCTCTTCAAATTCAAAGAGCTCCCTCCCTACCCTACCCATCTTGCAGAGGAAATGGCCAATCGACATTTATTCTTGTCTGTACTGTTGGGAGATGGTTAAACAGTTCAATGTTTTTGGATTGACAGGATTCTTTAAAATTGTTTCTGTGCACGATAACATCAACATGCAGACAATCCAAAAAGAAAACATCAAAAATTAACTTCAGTTTTAACATGCGTTCGACATGGTTCATGTTCAAGCAAAATCAGTCGAAGCAATAGTCAGCCTCAACAAACAAAACAAAGAACCTTGTCAGAACATGTCAATCGAAGTCTCTAGATTAAAGCGACACACGCAGATTAATTACAGTGCAAACCACGCAGGAATCGCGAGGACAAGCGTATCGCAAAGAGAATCAAGAGAGAGCGCATAATAACAACCAGTGTGTACGCACCGAGTTAAACTCTAAGCCGAGTATTAAGAAACAGCAGGATCAGCAAGCTGAGCCTTCACGTTTCTAACACTCTCACACTGGTAGTAAAGCACTCTATAAATTTAGGATTATTTAAATCACATATATACAAGCTATAGTCAGTATCATATAAAGCAGCTCGGACAAAAATCACAAATCACGTTGCCGAATCAATCGCGCCAAACTTTCCATCTGAGAAACGTTTTCGCTCGCCAATCAAATCGAAAATTTCAGAAAGAAAAATCACGCAGCAACATCAGTGAAAAAGTTCGGACATGCGACAAGATCAATTGGGCAGCAATCGCTTTCCTTTTTTCTTCAGCGACTTGTCGGGGGAAAAATTGTCAAGTCCGGTTGAAAGTTTCCGCAACCGCAGGTTTTCCACGTCCCCCACTTAGAGTCAAGTGAGTGGACATATTTCTTGTTTCAAAGGTCACATTTCGACCAAAGCGGCTTGCTCTTTCCCCCTCAGTCTCAGCCGCACGTGATCACTTGACTGCCTCAAATCTCACTAGTTCAGCTAGGTCTACATGAAACTGCTCCCGCATGAGAAAGCTTAGCATGTATGGGGGCAACGGTATGTCGCATTGGTTCACTGCATGAAACATTCGGCACAAAGTCTCAGAGTCATTCCTACTTGGTAAGTCAGCCGGGTTGGACGTCGAAGGCACCCTCTCGCACCAAGCACTGAATGGGAGAATGGCATCGAGGAGGCTGATCAGGGATACCAAGAGAAACATTGCGTTGGATACAGAGCTACGCTTTATCATTGTCACCCTTGAAGACTCGCTGTCAATGAAAATTAAACCATATCTTCTATGCAGCAAATGTCTGAGATGCCAGCGACTGCAAACATAGGCAAAAAGTTCAATCCCGCAAATGAGTTGCTCACCACCAGTTTCGCTCCAAAATCGTAGGAGCACTTTTGGAACCGTCCCAGAAAAGACACATCGCTGGTTGTCCAGGGGGTTGTAGACAAATGCGCCCCCTGTTCCATTCCCACTTTCAATCGCACCATCACTGTAAATAATTATATGTCAGAATCTTTAAGTCCAATCACGCGAGGCGTCACCGACTTGGTAATCGCTTCCAGGTAATTGCAAACCCGCTGCGCCTCAACTTCAGACACCCCTCTTCGATAAACCCAGTCATTCAAAGTATCGGTGCCAAGCTTGAATTGATGCCCCAGGATAAAACCTCCCCAGCAAAGTTCATCAAGCCAGCACATGCCAAAGACCCCGACTGATCTTGTTAAAGGAGAACACTGCGGATGAAGCGCCAAACGGGAGAGGGCTAGTTGTGGATAGCCTCCAGCCCTCAGACGGCTCAATCTCTTCCTCTGTCGTGGCCTTACCCATCAGAGCTTTGCGTTTCCAAGTTGCCTGGTGATCAAGCTGTTCCACCGCCAGGGCGGCAGGAGCGTACTTTGTCATGTAAAGCTGGTCCACCGTCAGGGTGGTAGGAGCGTACTTTGTCATGTAGAGTGGAGAGTGATCTTCAGGACCTGTCAAGTGCACTCCTTCTTCCATGTATTTGCAAACATCCATATCCAGGAAAAGCTTCTTCCACAATAACAAGGGCTTTCCCCTTGTCACTGCTCTCACATGGTTTTTCCATGCTTTCTCTCATTCGTTTCTCTTGCTCTGCCGTTTCAAGCTTTAACCTCATGACATCCTTCAGCGCAGAGATTCTCGTTCGAGCCATTGCATGAGGCCCCAAAGTGCATAACCTGAAGAAATTGACCCTCAGCACGTCGGGTACCACGTTGAACTCCAATGCAGAGTGTTTCAGTTGAATGGCCTTGTCAAAGTGCTCCGCCGGTGAAAAATAGAACCCAATCTTGTACTTTGTTTCCGCAGTTGGGCCTTTGTAGTTGTCCCCCCGCAGTTGAAGGCTCACACAGAAGTTTGAATGCGTGGACCAGATGGTAGCCAACAGTTTGGGGTACTCAGCTTCTGTAGCAGTGTTGAATACCCACGAAGAATTATGCTTCAGGACACGCCATTTTGGATGTTCATGATCTTCACTGCAGCAACCAGCCAAATGGTCAAAAAGGCCTGGAGTGCCCTTTAGCCTGGTCGTTTTTGCAAACGAGCTACCGTGTTGACACGCATAAAAAGTGGTATCGCCTAAATCAAAATACCACGCAGAGTATTCAGTATTGTTGCGTTGCTTCACCAACATGGCCAAAATGGCCCATCGCCATGAACGCTCCGGGTTTTGCAGTGATACCCAGAGCCGCAAAGGAAAAAGAGAAGTAGCACACGATCAGCAGTTCTGTAGACCTTGTTTGCACATTCCACTCTGTGCCTCTCGGATTCTGTAAAGCGGTCCCACCCCAAAAGGTTGTTTTGATCACGCAACGGCCGTGGCAGAGGGGCCCCCCTCCCCTTGCACTGAAACTGGTTTTTTCACGAGTTCTAGAAGCTGTGCCGCAAGGGAGTCCCATATGAGTCCACTAAGGCCTCATTTGCCTGTACAAAAGTTGCTGCGATGTTTCCTGTGAAAAATCCAGCAAGAAAATCTTTGATTTTGGCAAGAACCGATTCATTTCACAATCGATTGCAAATGCCTTGAAGCCTTGTTCGGAAGCCTCTGAAGACAAGACTGCACTGCCCGCACATAGTTCCACAAAAACAGCCACATCTCTTGAAGAATGCTGTTCTTCGCTCACCTGCAAATCGTCACTAGGTCAGTGGCCACACTCGATGTACGGCCGCTTTTTGCCACAGCCCTTGAAGTAGCAAATATGCAATCCCCTGTTGCATGATGCCACCTTCTGTCGCTTGCACGTGCCATTGTTGAAGCACAAGCAAATAAACTTGTTTGGTGGCAAGTTTTTGCAACAATTCTTTCACTGTCGTGCCACTTCCCTCAAATTTCCTCTTGGTGCCCGACGGAGTCTTTGAATGCTGCTGCGGTGTGTTAGGCAATCCCGGCTTTGGAGCCGCCTGTAATGGCGTTTTGGGCGTCTCCACCTTTGGCGTCTGTCCTGGCAGGGGCGTCATAAAACACAACACCGGTGGGGATCTTCTCAAAGTTTCCAACTCATCATCAAGCGGAGGAGGCTGCCCTACCATCACTTTCAATTTGCCGCGTGTGTTCTGCGATAAGAGACTCCAAAGCTCTCTGTCAGCTGCCATGATCTGTTGAATCGTTACATACTTGTGGCCCGCCGGGGGCTTCCTCATCAATGCTTGTACCACCGCATTATGCCAAGTTTCCATGACGTCAAATGAGCACAACTTGATCTGATCAAATGCCAAAGCCTTTCGAGTCAAACACTGTCTTAGCCTCAGCTCACCTGTCACATCACAATTCAACTGGTTCTCAGCCTTGGTGACTTTGACATTGCCTTGCACGTCAAAATTCAATTGTTGATCATTCTTCGTACTCTGAATCTCATCATGCCTCAAAAATGCGTTTTTTTAGGAGCTAGGTAGGTGACCAAACCGTCCTCCAGCATTGCTCGTACCTTGTCTGTCAGTGCATGAGCTGGCTCCACGAACTGGTCATAGATCAAGCCTTTCAAACGCTCACGCTGCTCTTCAACCCTGACCAGTCTCTCTGCAAGAGGAATCGTCTTAGGCGTGTCGCTAGGATTCTTCTGCATCTTATTCTGAATTTCTGTCATTGTCAAGGTGTATGATTCGAACCAGAGACGTCGAATAAGGATCAACTCCTGAGGTGTCAATTGGTCACCGTCAACAACCAGCTGTTGCAAAGCGTCCTTCAAGGGTCTGTCATCCCCAGAGGTTGGGCTCACGCTGCAAACGTAGGCCAGTTTACCAAACATATCAATTCCAGCGTCTGTCAATCGTTGCATCAAGGTATCTGCCATGCCTATTTCAGATGCACGCGCCTCGAAGCCAGCCACAGATTCCATTGAAGCCATGGGCTCAGACGCTCTGCCAACCTGTCATCGACAGCAGATGTTGAAACCTTAGTCAGTTAAGGTATTGGGACAAACGGCAATCATGCAAACCAAACTCTTGAAGGTTAAGCACATAGCTGTTGTCAAATGCAATGCGACGGAACAAATATCAAGTAGAAAAGAGATTGAAACGTCATGCAGACTCATGTTCGTCAAAGCATTTACACCGTGTTTCTGCTTCAGTCGCGACATTCCGCTGCTGAGCACGGGTGCCACAAAGCAAATTGAAAGTCCACTGCATGATCATGTCAAACCTTTCAAATCCATTCCACACCTCACCTGACGCCTTCCCGTGCTAAAATCAGCACACAATCGGCTGCCAGCAAATGATTTCTTTCAAATGATTTGTTGAGATTACAACAACGTTTGAATAAGGTTGGAAGTGAAACAATTGCACGTTTCCCCTCAGAAGAAAAAGAGTTGATGATCGCCAGGCCAAACTTTTTGTACCCACAAAATATCAGGCACGGTGCAGTGCCCTATTGCATTGCTCACAAAATTCATGAGCGTCTCTTTCACTCCAAGGGAAATCCACTGGGCGCATGTTGGTGGACAAAGCTCGTCCACACAAGAGACTATCAGTCGTCTCTTTTCCATGCACTATTCCGGACAGCTTGTGCGCCACGCACTGGTCCAGCTCAATGGGTGGAAAGCTCGCTCGTGCCAGCATCTCTGACTCACCTGGAATCTTGATGGGCTTCTCCACTATGTTTTCCTCTTCAATATCTGACTCAATCACCTGGCTGTTCTCCTGGTCGCATGCCAGTCTCCTTTCCAGCTCACGCTCCATGTCATTCTGCTCAGGTAAATTGTCAGGGAGTTGGGTGAGCCCAGTCGCCATTGCAATCCTCTCAGCTCGACTTGCATCCGGGTCGAAAATGCCTTGCCGTATTGTCTCCAGCATTCTGAGGACTTTCACCATCACCGCCGCGATGGCATCTCTTGAATACACCACGGCCATCTTGGTCTCCTCATCCAAGTGGTGCCCCAATACCAACCTCTCTTGCCAACCGAAGGTCGATGATTTGGCAGCCCAGCTCAAAACTGTTGCCTTCAATGAGTGGGTGGAGTACAGAGAAGCTTCACCCTCGGTCATGCCTGTCATGGTCAGCAAGCCTTTCAGCCAATAGGATCCTTCAGCCGTTGTCATTCTCCTCTCAAGCCAACTGTTTTGGGATTCAGAGTCTGCCGGCATCATGCAGTCACTTGCACCCAGTCCACACTGTCTTCTGGCGCTCATCCAAGACAGTGCCCAGCCTGTCCCACTCAACCCTGTACCAAGAGCAACAAGTGGTAGCAACACTGACCTGCGTTCACCAGACGCTGTCTTGTATTCGCTGCTGGAAGATTCCACCAAAATGACATGCTGAAATTGAGAAATCACCGGCCTCTGAGCACGTGCAGCGTCAGCAAACCTGGAGCAAGAAAACATGCAAAATAGCATGAACCCCAAGATGGCCTTTATCTTGGGCTGGATCCGTTCTGTCATCAGGCCCTCCAACTTCCAAACAACTTCTGCAGGCAACGGTGGCGCTTGCTGGAGCTTGCGCTTCTTTGCCATCAAGTCTTTGGACGCACCTCTGACTCTTCCAGAAATGATGTCCGGCGTTCCACTAGCGCCAGCTCCCACAGTGTGTTGCATGAACTTCCAAGCAGATATGAAAGATTCACCTGCTGTGGCTCCAGCTCCTTGTTGACGTAAGTAGCACAAGTAGGCGTAGAGGTCATGCTCCGAGGGGTTCAGTGGCCTCCCATTGTTGCAAGTCACTTGGAATTCTGCAAACCTAGTGAAGTCAGAAGCCCTCTTGACAAGCGTAGCAACCGCTTTACCAGCAAAGCAGTCCCGCAGAGATTGTTGTAAGACATCCTCTCCTACGACTGCCCCTGCTGAGCTCAGCAAGGTTCTGCCCAAGCGGCTGTCCTCAGGCCAGAAAAGCACCAGGTTCCGCAGCTTCCTCAGAGCTGACGTCAGCAATGCATCATCCGACTTGGCCAGCTTGGATGTCATCAGTCGCCTCTTTGCAAAAGGCATGTTGTACACCCCTTCAGCTGTAGGCCTCATATTCAATGTCGTGTCATGCATGGCATCTTCAATGTGTGACAAACGTCCCAGCACTGGCAGTCGGAACAACTCCGATACCAAGTCAATTTTCGGCAGCCCCAACTGAATAGGAGATGCCAGTTTTTCATTTCTGGCCAAAATCAACGTAGCATCAAAAATTTGTTGTGAAATTCTATCATTGCTCCCAGCCAAGTCTCTCTGCAGCGCACTCTGGACTGGAATGCTGCTAGCACTAGTCTCTGTCACTTCTGGCAAAACCAACGGTCTACTAACAGCACCATCGTTGGATGCCACACTTTGAGCATACGATGCACTAGGTAGTGATCCTCCAAAACCAAAACTCGCAGCTACGCTCAAAACATCATTCTCCTCAACCTCTTTGTCATTCTCCTCAACCTCTTTGGCGTCGTCCCCCCGCGTCTCAAGAGGAACCATCACCTTAACGCCAATGCAGCGTGCACCTGTGGGTGCGATGCTTGTCTGCCCTGGCACAGGTACAATCGCAAAAGTTGCAAGGTTCACTGCAATGAAGAGGATGTGGAGATGCCTCTGAAGGTGGTGTCGGAATCTGGATCCTAAATCGTCTAGCCAGTTCGTACAAAATGTTCAGCAGTAAGCGAATCAACTGTGTCACTGTCAAAAGATTCAAGTCCAGGGAATCCATGCACAGCAGAAAAGAAATGGCTTCTGCTAAAAGAAAATCACAGCTCTTCAAATTCAAAGAGCTCCCTCCCTACCCTACCCATCTTGCAGAGGAAATGGCCAATCGACATTTATTCTTGTCTGTACTGTTGGGAGATGGTTAAACAGTTCAATGTTTTTGGATTGACAGGATTCTTTAAAATTGTTTCTGTGCACGATAACATCAACATGCAGACAATCCAAAAAGAAAACATCAAAAATTAACTTCAGTTTTAACATGCGTTCGACATGGTTCATGTTCAAGCAAAATCAGTCGAAGCAATAGTCAGCCTCAACAAACAAAACAAAGAACCTTGTCAGAACATGTCAATCGAAGTCTCTAGATTAAAGCGACACACGCAGATTAATTACAGTGCAAACCACGCAGGAATCGCGAGGACAAGCGTATCGCAAAGAGAATCAAGAGAGAGCGCATAATAACAACCAGTGTGTACGCACCGAGTTAAACTCTAAGCCGAGTATTAAGAAACAGCAGGATCAGCAAGCTGAGCCTTCACTTACACCTATATACCATATTGCATTTGACAGCCTTAGGAATGAAAAGACACTTCTGGTTGCACCAAACGGTGCTGCAAGCAATTGAAACAACTCTGCCCTTTTCTTCTTGGGGTTGTACACTGCAACGAAAGCAAATGACAGTGATTGTTGTGCTATAGCAAGTTGTTTGTATGCTGATTTCAAATCGAATGATCTGCCCATCAAGGGAACTCCTCCACTGCATTTCAGAACTTCCAAAAGCATGGCTGCAATAAAATCCGCTGAATGTGGTTTCGGCGACTCTGCGGTCTGCACCGTTTGATTCACTCCGCTCGCACTCATATCGTCTATCAAACGAATCTTCCCCGGTTGCCGCAGTCCAAATCTCCGGCTGACCACCGCTCCGTCTGGGAGTTGTTCCACATCGAGCGGTCCAGACGCCCAGCCACAGTCCACTTCTTCCAAAGTCTTGCTATAAACCATTTCGTCAATTTCCTTGTCACCTGAAGATGAGCACTTATAAAAGTTTAGCATCCTCTCAGAACGACTTGCTTTGCAGATCTGCTCAATGGTCTTTTCTGCCGGCTTGAATGACTTCTCAAAAATTCCATAGGGTGGCACCTCACCAACCAACTCTGTACCATTGACCAATTCGTCGAATGCTCCCAAATCAGGATATTCCAGATCCAATAAAATTTCCTTGAACAAGGCGAGTCTCTTGGGTTCCAAAATTTTGGCTGCATGTGCCGGCAAGGAATTTTTGATTTCGACGTCAGTCAGACCCAAGTGTTTTGCACGCTCGGTCCATTTGGCAAACCAGCGGCTTCTGTCCCTAGGAAGGCTGTGCAGACTATCCTTACCAAAGTTGTTGCTAATAGCTTCATGTAAGACCTTTGGCACCAACCTGGAAAACAACCTCGGGTGTCCCCTTTGAATTGCTTCACAAATGAATTCCTCTGGCTCGAATGGAATTCCCCATGCCTGTTCAAAAACACCAATGCCATGATTTCCAACTTCCATGATACCCCCATTTGACCGAAGGGGTGTAACCCGCAATAGCTGTGAACCAGTGGGCAAAACCTGTAACTCAGTCTGGCAACAAGATGGCACGGTCCAGGAGTGCTTAAGGCGCTGCATAGGTTCAACTGGTACTTTGGCCAACTCAAGAAAAGGTCCTGTAACGCGCACAACTCGTTTGTGTTCCCTGACAACTGGAGGAAACTTAGCTGCTTTTGGCTGAGCAGTTGCAACTGCGCGCATGGACTTCAGGGACACTTCAGGGTGTCTAGCTGTTCTTGTGGAGGTGTCCAACCATGCGCAACCAAAATTGAAGCAAACACCCGTGCTATGGCATGCGTTAATCCCAACGGATATGCTGTCTCTTCACTTGTGGAAAAATGCGTGCCAGACGCTGAATGTACCAATCCCCACGGTTTATGTTGATGATGCTCAGATTCCCCCGGACAGCATCTGCAAATTGAAGCAAAGGCTGGATGGTTCCATGCCAGCACGGTCCACTTTGGCCTAGATCCACCATATGCGCAAGCCTGGTGAGCTGAATATTGCATTGGTGCCTGTATCTTCTTCCAAAAAATTGTGAGCCAAAACAGGGAGGACCGTGGGTTCTCTACCACTACAATGAGGCCCTGCTTGTGTGCCAGTTCCACCACTGCTGCTAAAAAGTTGTAAAGCTTGTTTGCTGCAGAAACCCTGATTCTGTCACTATGCCCCAGTCCTGGCAATCCTTCTGGCCATCTGGAGGATCTCAAAGGTTTTGGTCCATGCAAAGTCCTACCATGAGCATCGCGTAACCTAATGTTCCTGGCAAGAGAACACGTTCCACAAGGGGGCGCTAAAAAGACCCCTACCACCAAAGGAGAATTCAGCCATTGCATGAGTATTTGCTGGTCAGATTCCAGTGTAAGGTCCAGGCGCTTTGCTGCTGATACCGCCTTGTCCAATTTGTGATCCACACCAAATGAATCCCTGATGCCAACCGCTTTGAGGCTAGCTGTCAAGCGCGCACTGCCGCAGAAAATTTCAATCACCACAGGACATGTCAACTGTTCCATGCTAAATGCAAAGCCATCACTTGTGATTGATTGCATTTGTGACCTTTTTGAACCCAGGTTATGATCTACTAGATCATCAATTGCTTCTGGATTCTGAGGGCTTGGCTGGACCTGTTCGACAGAAGCTTCATCAACTTCCGCTCTGTTAGCAAACGAAACACAACTGAAATCAAAATTGCTGTCAAAACTTGTCTCTTGTACAGGCTTCGCTGGGTTGAGACTCTCTGATGTTTTCACATGCACTGACTGATTAAGCTCGCTGCTCCCAACATGCTGAATGCATGGATTATCAAGTGCAACGCTGATTGACTGAGAATTGCAAGAAAAATTGTTCGACGCATCGCCATCATTGGCAGTCGAGTCCTCGTGATGACCTTGACTTGAACAGGCTTCAGGCTGGAGTCAAAGCTCAGACTCATGTTTTTGAATCCCATGCAAACCATAGCATTTTGCACATACATGTAAACCTCTTCTGCACTTTGCACCATCGGCTGCTTCTGCGCACCCTGAACTGCTGTTGTATCCAAAACAGATTGGATCGCCCGCTGGGTTAGAAGAAGTGCCACCCAACTTGAAGATGTGATTCGGCACTCTAACTTTTCCTTTGCCACCTTTCTTTCCGCCCTTAGCTTTCAACCACGGCTTTTGCACTTGTTGATTGAAACCTTTTCCACCGTGACTTGCAGACGGCTTGGTAGGCTTTGGAGCGATTGGGGCATTGTCCTTCTTGGCAACCAACAGTAGCAAGGAGAAAGAAACTCTATAGCTATGGAGACTCTCCATAAGCTTTGAATCCAAAGCCAGCTCTCCAGCTTCATCTCTTTTTGGCTGCACCCCCTCCTCCAGGATCATCTGCCACACAGTTTTGTCAGCAGCAACAAGCTGACTCACAGAAGTCCTTGCATAGCCCACCGGCGGATCTCTATGCAAGTGCCCAAAGAGAGTGGTCAGGTATCTGGTGTAACTCTCATGGGTAACCAGATCTGCAAACACCAGTGCTATGCCACGGCGCTGGAAAGCTTCTTGTACTTGAAGCGCTGAGGTGACCGTCATGTCCGGTGTGTCTTGTTTTTCCTTCACAACAAGGTGCTCCGCTGAGATGTCCAACTGCTTCGTGGGGGACTTCTGATTCAACACTTCATGAGTCCTTGAAATGCAGCGTTCAGGGGGAATGTATTTGACTTCATTGAGCTGCATCATACTGGCTGTTGTATCCAAGAGCGAATGTCCAGGTTCCAGCGGCCCTTCTATGAGAAGACCTGTCAACCTCTTTTTGATGGCCCTCATTTTGGTTTCCCGCTCGGCAATGGGCACCTTCTTAATTGATGAAGCATCCGTCGCATTGACTTGCTCCTGTAACGACGCAAGTACCATTGTTTGACTCTCGAAAAGCAGCCTTTTGGCTCCAGCAATGTCTGCTATTGTAGCACCTGTTAACAGCTGATTGGTGACCCATGCTTCAAAACCTTCGTCTGAAATGTTTTGCCCCGGTTGCCCATGGGCATATGCATATGTCCCAAAAGTCTGCAAACCCGCTCTCTTCAAACTGCGCTTCAACTCTTCTGATAGCTTCAAATCAATGGTGCGCTGAGCAAATTGCGCTTCTGAATCCAGTAAGCTTGCCATTGTCACAAAGTCCGAACTGCTACAAGACCCCTAAAGAAAATGTCAACTGAAATCAATGCTACTGAATTCATGAACGCTCATCAAACTTGACTAAAACCCGTTGAGTGAACAAATGCATGCATGAACTCTCAACCCTGCTTCCTAAACATCTGTGCTCATGAGCCACGCTCCACAAGCATTCACTGATCATGCAACAGGTGCCACGCAACCCCTGCTGACCTACCGCACTCTCAAGCTCTTCAACTTGCGGCATTCTCCAATGGGCTCACTCAAACGCCTTCAATAAAAACAAGATGATAAGACAGTTCCGGTTGAGTTGTTCAACATTCCAAAAACATCTTTTTAATAAAATACTATCATCCAATCTGACCATTCATCAGGGTGCCACGCAACCCCGACCCCTCACACTTCTCACCAAGTGAGATCACTTTTTAACCCAATGCCTTCGGAAGTACATTGTCTTTCACCGCATTGCTTCTGCAACGCTTGCACATGTCCACAGAGTCAAACTGGGCTATGTACTTATAATTTTGGTTCAACGACCTTCCACAAGAAATGATACGGGCGCCCTTTCCGTCAACCACTGTTGGATCCGAATAGTGGACCAGCTTTGAAACATTGTGCACAACAAAGAGGCCTGCCAACGGTCCGACTGCATGGTGTCTGAAACACTTTATTGGAGGCCTTGGCACTTCTTCCTCTGAGTCCGAAGCCTCCAACGACTCTGATCCATCAGAGGACGCCTCATACTCATCATCCTCCACAACCAAGGCCTGGCCAGCCTTTTCCTCGCTGGCCTCCACATCTGACTGCCCATCTTCAACCTTGAAGACCTCAATCCCTGCAGGCGCTGTCACCTCCACAGACTGGGCTGTCGCTGGCAAGTACCCCGATCTGGGTGCATCAGGCAAAAATTCACCGCAATGAATCTTTCTCAAAACATCCTGAAGTCTATGGACAGCTCCAAAGGCAAGGTCCCTGGCGTAAACAGCACTGGACTCCAAGTATGCACTTGAGTGCCTTCCCAGGATTGCCCTATCTGCGGCACTCATTCCTGACTTCGATGCCCACGATAACAACGTCGCTTTCAGTGAGTGGGAAGAAACCCTCAAATCACCATGGCCTGGTGCTTCGTCCTCCAACATGAGCCGCAAGAATTTGGTGACTTCCTGTGAGGTCAATCCACGACGACAGTGCGCACTGCCTGACATCCCTGGCGGCCGAAAAAAGGGCCCTCCAATCCGACCCTCAAACATGAGTCCGTATTCTTCAAATGCGGCCTTTGCATCTGAGATCCACTCGCACCCTGTTATGCCCAAAGCTGGAAGCACAATGGGCAGCAACCTAGATTTCTGGGCAGCTGTCCTGGCCGTTTTGTGAGTTCTTGTACTCACCTCCATGTAGCCACCGTCTTCCCCGAAGTCCAGGGCCACCTCCTCAACATTTTGCAAATCACTGTGACGGCACCTTCCGTACAAAGCCACTAGAAGATAGGCGACCACTGCTCTGTCAACTGTGTTGCAAGATTCATCCAGCAACTTGTCATGCAGCCACCTCACCTGACTAACAGTCAACACAAGTGCCTGTTTCAGTGGTGCTTTCTCTGCATGCATGAGTTCTGCAATGCCCTTGAGTCGCCTGCTCTCACAAATGGGCGCCAAACCAGAAAATCCAAACACGTGCAACGCATGTGCACATGCTGACAAAGAGCTTGTGCCCCTCGTTGGAGCAGCATTCTTCTCACGCAACTCAGTCAGATACTGCCAGGCCTCCGACTCAGAGAACTCCTTGCCATCGCTCTCGGATGTTTCAGCCCTCCATCTGATGAACTTCAAAAGGGCATTTGCTCGAGTTATGGCAGTGGTTCTTGAACGAATGCCAATGACCGCTTCTATGATTTGGAAGGCACCTTGTTTCTGAACTTCCATGTTTCCCAAGCCAATTATGTCATGGCCCACTGAAGACGCAAGCATGTTGACCCTTATGATGCAAAACCACTTCTCAACAGCTGACTCCAATAGATTCTGCCGTTGCTGAAAAAATGACTGATCCGACCCTGAAGTGAGAGCATGCTCAAAAAAGGCCCCCACCAGCTGCGGCCTACTGTGGATAGCCGTTGCCAACTCTTCCAACGATTCCACAGCAGATTCAGCGCAATGATCAACCCATTGTTTTGGCTGGTCAAACAAATCATTCCGACGGCTCCCAGGTTTCTTGAAATTATTCTACACTCCACAAACGCGCGTCAGTTTTCCAAATGTGTGACAAATAACATCGATATAAAAATGTGAGTCACATGTCAAAAAACGAACGATGAAATCTGAAATGAAAACACAACGTTCAAAAGTGGCCGCACTTCTTTTTCACCGGGGAAAGGTTCAGCACCTTCCGCTCTCTGGGCTGAAGGGTGTGGCCTGATAAGACCGGTTTAAATTGTAAGAGGAGAATTGTTTTGCGGGTGGGAAAAAAGTTTTCGCGAGAAAACAGGGAGGGAAAGACGAAACATTATCCGTCAATAAGGGTAAAAACCCTCCCACCCAACCCTTGAGAGAAAATGTTTCAGATGAAACAGACAATTCATCACATCTTAGGAAAGGTTGAATTTTTGGAAAACAAAAACGCGCACGAGCACAAAACAGTTTTGTTGTCAAACCAAGTTTGGTCACACAAACGTTTTGTTCTCAAATAGTTGCGTGTGCAAATAAGAGAGAGTTTCTCAAGAGAAACTCACAACTTATTCTACACTCCACAAACGCGCGTCAGTTTTCCAAATGTGTGACAAATAACATCGATATAAAAATGTGAGTCACATGTCAAAAAACGAACGATGAAATCTGAAATGAAAACACAACGTTCAAAAGTGGCCGCACTTCTTTTTCACCGGGGAAAGGTTCAGCACCTTCCGCTCTCTGCCCCAGTCTCTAACTCAAGGTGCTGGGCAACCTTCTCCCAATCTATGTTGGTTTGCATTGCTCCAAGCTTTTTGACTTTGTCAAACTTGAGACGACTGGGATCATCCGCTGGATTGCTGAAACTCGGCACTCGGCCGAACCACACCCGGTGTTGCAGCCGGGCTTCCTCTTCCACGAAAACCTGAATGAGCTTGCTGGCTCGCAAAGTCTCACCATCTCCTCGCACGTACGCAAGCCGTGCTGACTCATTGTCAATGTAATACACCACCTGTGGGTTGGAAAAGAGGGATCCCCACAAGGTTGCAGCAATGACAACTGGCAGTATTTCCAATTCGTGAATTGGGTTCTGCGATCTCGAGAGCAAGTCCTGCATGATAAACGAGGGTACGCTTCCACCGAAGTACTTCAGACACTCGCCACTGGGGCTGTACAAAACACCTCCCACTGATCCAGACCTTGTCTCAGGTTCGCATGCACCATCTGTAAACACGTACCAGGTTGAATGCAAAGAAGGTTCAATGGTCAGCGGCTTTCCCACAGCAACTCTTTGTTGAAGGAAAAGCAGTGCTCGCCGTAACGGCTCATCAAGGGGTTTGGACTTAATAGGTCCCATGCAACACCTGCCAACTGCTTTTACGGAGGAGTTTGCAACTCGTCCAAAAGTGTACCCTTCAAAAAATATCATTCGTCCTCTCAAACGCTCGGCGTCCTTTGCGCCAAGGCATCCAGCTTGTAAGAAACCTGCAAGTTGTCCTTGAAGCTCTTCTCGTCGCCCTTCTGTGTGCCCAACCTGCACGGCACCATGTTCAAATTGTTGCGTGTTGATCTCCAACCCCAACGTCTTGAATTTGTCACTGAAAGGCACGCATTTATGCCCCTCTCTCGCAAAATCCATTCCAAGCAAATCAAGTAGGCTCTCACATGCCCAGCTGCTGCTATGTTCAAGTTCTGCTCGGGAAAGCAATGTGAAGTCGTCGTAAAAAGCGCTCCACAACAAGCCCAATCCAAAGTACCCCACATACCATATGGCCTGGCTGATCCTCAAGAATCCTGCCACCGATCCCACAGCACCAAATGGTAGGGAATTGAAGCCGATTACTGCCATGTCTTGAGACCCTGGCCGGTTCACCCCCATGCGCAGCGTGGCGCGGTCCATGGGATGTACCGCAAATTGCTTGTAGGCCGAACGCAAGTCATACGTACGGCCTCGTACTTGCGGCCTTGACCCTGCAGGGCATATCTTCAATGCGAACCCTATCAGCGCTGCCAAGAAATCCACTGAATGGAGCTTGAACTTCTCGTGCAAACCCACTGTGAGATTCAGGCCACAGCAGGTGCAGTCATCAATGACCCTAATCTTGTGGCCTTGCTGCAGCCCAAATCGACGGCCCAAAAACTTGCCTTCTGTGGATCCACTGTTGTCAACAAAAATCCAACCTTTTTCCAACTCAGCTTCAGTTTCTCGCCACGTAGCCTCTTCAAGCTCTGCCTCCTGCCTCTTTCCAAAGGCTTCCAAGTTGGTTGCATTGAACGCCCTGCTCATCTTCTTCAGTGTCTCCAAAGACATTGCAGGTCGTTTGGATTTTGTTCGGAAGACGTTGGACTTGGTCATGTAGCCGCTCAAGCGAAAGCCAGAAGCTATGTCGTCTACCAGTTTCTCATCTGGGTAATTTAGATCGCTGAGCATTTCTTTGAACAGCACCAGCCTCTTTTGGCCCACCACCTTGCGCACATGTTCTGGCATGGTCTGCCGAAGCTCATCTTCTTTTGCGTTGAGCTCCTTGGCCCGTTTGGTCCACCTCTTGAAGAACTCCACACGTTTCTTGGCAAGTGCAAACGGAGGCTCCAACATGTTCATTTGCACCACTTCTCTCATGGCACTGTCTATGTGCACGTCCAAGCCCCTGGGATGACCCGCTTGTACTGCTCGGGCCACAAATTCTGCTGGTTCGCTTGGCACACCCACCCAACACAGCTCCACCATAGCATCGAGTGGTGCACAGTCAGCACCCGCAAGGAAATGGCCCTCTCCACTTACGACCCGTACTGCTCCCCTCTTCAATAACTGTCGTGAGGTGATCTTTGAACCCGTAGGCAGTGACGCAAGGAAGCTGTCAATTTTGTCAGTTTGTTGTGTAGGTGCCACAACCGCCACATAATTGCCAAACTCGGCTACCAAGGGTCGTATTTTGGCTCCCCTTGGCAGAGCACCCAATGCAATGCGCCCTGCAGCGTCTGCGTCAGGCTGTTCCACTTGCTCACTTAATGTGGTGGAAAAAATGGCACCAAACTGAACAACTTTGTGTTTGACACAATCCACAATGCGTTGACAAAGCACTGAGGGATAGGCTGCCTCTTCGGCCGTAGGGAAATGCACTTTCTGCTTTGAAATTGTCACTTTCCATGACTTGTGCTCATGGGACTTGTCGCATCGAGCTTCCAGTGAATCGATCCAATCGTCGTTGACCCAAACTGCAGTCAACTTGTCGCGCCAGCCACCGTGGCAACAGTTGTGAAAATTCACGTATTTGCTGCCAAACTCTGCTATGATGTTTGCCATTGGTGTTGTGCCCCAATAGTGGCTGTTACCAGGGTTTTCAATGCCAGTGAAAATGCCTGCTTTGCATGCTGTCCTTGTGATCTGCTCAACCGCTTGGTAGAGCAAGTTGGCCTTTTCAACCTTGACTTTGTTTGTGCCCTCCAGCCCATCAAGTTGGTCTGGTTGTGTCTCGGACCGCAATGGCACTGGCACCTCTACACCAAGCTGTTGTAACTGCGGAAGCCTGCGCTCTCGTGCTCTGCTGGCTGTACCGCAGGAGGGTGCGATCCATATGGCTGCTATATTGGCTGCTTCAGCCTCCAGGAAATTGCAGAGCTCGTCCACCTGGGATTGGTCTTCCAGTTCGAAGATGCAAATGTCAATGCCACAAGACCGGCTGCTTGTATGGTCAATGGCAATCCCTGTGAAACCGGCATCTCGCGCAGTGCGTGTCAATTTCGCGCTTCCAGCGCAGATCTCCACAAAAATGAGGTCGCTGACAAGTTTGCCACTGAATCTCTGGTGGTAGTTTGTTGCAGCGCTCCCCAACTGAGTACCCTTAGGGTGTTGAGAACCATGTGAAACTTCAGGTTTGCTGTGGCCCATGTTTTCAACAGTTTTGCCTTTCGCCCCTGATGACACTGAAGGTGTATTGCGGCCTCTGTCTTCAACAGTTTTGCCTTTCCCACCAACTTTGCAAGCTCTAGGGTCGATGTTCGACTCTTGATCTTGTGAAACCGCTTTGCGCTTCCCACCTGGCCGTTGTGCCCGACCAGTGGGGCTGTTTTGTCAACCACCTTTGTTGTCAGCCAGCCCTCTGCACACCACCACTGAGTGCCCTGGTTTGTGGCAATGGGCGCATACATGAAATCCTTTTGCACACCGCGATGGCTTCCCTGATGTCGAATTTTTGCATCCTGTCTTCAGGTTGTATGCCCAGCAAACGGGGCCATGTTCACAACGCAGTTGAAACTTTTTGAGCTCTTCCGGACACCCCTTCTCAGCGCGAGTCTTGCGCTTTTTGTTGGTGCTCTTTGCAGCAGCTTGTTGTGGTCCAACAGGATTTGTCCTCTTGGGTGCAATCTCCTTGTCCGTCACCTTTGCTGCCGACGTCGTGGGGAGCAGAAACATGGTGATGCGGGGGTCCTGGCACAGCCTTGGGAACATGCTGTCTAGTGGGATTTCCCCCGCCACGTTTGGCTTGAGGCCACCTTTGCACTCTTGCGCCAAGAGCGTCCACATCTCTCTATCAGCTCTCACAAGCTGGTCAATCTTGACCTGTTGAAATCCCGGGGGAGGCACTTGGCTCAGTGTTCTGAAGAGCTGGTGCACCCAGGCATCGTGCACTGCCCATGAAAGCAACCTGCATTGATCCATTGCCAGCCCCCTTCGTTGCCAACACCACTGGAGCTTTATCTCGCTTCCATAGTCAGCCTTGAACTCATCTGACACTTGTGCCACTTTCAGTTGCTGGTTCTCGATCTGCACAGAGGAAGGTTTGTCTCTGATCGCCAACTGAACTTCATCTGATCTCTTTGTGCAACGACTGGGGGCTATCCAGACTATCGCCCCAGTCTCGATGATGTTGTTGGTCAGGTCAAGCAGCTGATGGCTTGGTTCGAGCTCGCCGCTGATAGCGACACCAGCCAAGCGCCTTTCTTGCTGTTCCAACCTGTGCTTCTTCTCTGCTATCGGGATTCGTTTGACGCTGTCAACTTTGTCTGCAGCTTCGCTGTCCACCTTCTGCTTGACTGATGCAATCATCAATGTAGTCGCCTCAAAATGAAGGCGTCGAATCATGGATGTCTGCCCCAGGGTAACATTTGCTCCAAACACCGCTTGTGCAAGCGTAGTGAACTGTTGATCCGTGGGCGGTGTCTGAGGCGTTGCCAAAGCAAACGCCATCCCACTGAAGGATGCTATGTTCTGCAGTGCCAGGGCATCTACAAACGCCCCACTCGGGTCGATTTCACTGCAACGTTGTCTGAACGCCGCATTGCTCTCAACCAGAGCCATGGCAACTGACGTTCGAGTGCTCAAACTAAAAACAAAAAGAAATGTTCCAGATTCTGTCTGACTTTTCGAATGAGGTTGGCTTTGAAGTGATGATGTCATCTCCTTCATCTCGCCACACCTAGAAATGATTTTGCTTCGTGTTTGGTCCCTGCAATAAACTATTGCTGAGCCGCTCCACGACGAGCAAAGAAAAATTGTGCACTCGCTCACTGACCCTGTTCATGAGACACGGTCCATGCATGCCCCTTCACTAGTGCCACAAGCAAAGTGATGTTCCGACTTGGGCGTAAAACTTGAAAGGCTCATTTCAAAAAATGAGACGGCCAAAAAAACCTCAACGGTATAACTGGTTTGTTATTACATCATGTTCACCAACCATGAAAACGATAGGTCCCCAAAAAGAGAGGTTGGGGACCTATCGTTTTAATTCACGACAACACGCACATGTGAGCTCCTACTGCTGTCAGCAATCTTTTGGACTCAGTGCTGTGTCTGATCGTGCACGTGCCACACAGCGATCGTAGCAACGGCTGGACTCTACGTGTCATCTCCGCATCAGTGCTGCATCACAGTAAATAGTTGAATCAAGGAAAGCCACTAAAAAAAACAAAAAGTGCCACATTGATTCAAGATCTCATGCACTGACCTTCAAATGCGTTCTGACATCGTGAGTTCAAACATTTAGTGGGGCAAGCGAAAAACTGGCAGTGACTCTCACTTTTGCTTACGTGCAACCATGCAAAACGTCTGCAACATGAACCAAAGTGGAAAAAACCGGAGTGCATTCTGACAAATTTTTTGTACACATGACCATCATTCCTGTCAAGTTTTGACATGTGAGTCATCTACCTGATGGAGTTGAGGTCACGACATTCCCAACTGCTCCCGCTGCTCATCTCATCATGAGGTCGCTGCAGTTACCACGGCAGACAGTTGTGTGATGTCACTGCCAACATGTGAGTACAAGATTGCAACTTCTCTACATGAGCAAGTGAAGTGAAACCTCCTAGGCACCTTTGCACTTTGAAATCCTGAACACCCAGAGTGCCCGACAACGCTGCTCTGTGCCAGAGGCTTCACCCACTGCCGCATTGCAAGAGCCAAGGAGAAGACACGGTTTGGTTTCAAACACCCATGCACATGCAACGCTGTACGTGTTGTGATGTTTTACATCCACAAGCATGATGAAAGGTTCAATGAACTTGCTTCAAATTTCATCCAGGGGCACCGGCTGTCTCTGAGTTCACTGCCGACGCGTCACTCGCCCTGGCCTTGTTGAAGCAGGCCCAACAAATCGGCGAGTCGAACCTGGGCTCCTGAGTTAAACGTTGATGGAAGGCACCTACAGACCTGCCACACACAAAAACTCTGAAGTATCCAGGCTCAGTCAAGTGGACAGTCTTTAGCTTACTGTGCTGCCATCTGGAGAAACCCTCTGGAGGTTGCGGCGGGGCAAACACTTTGTTCAAACCGCGGTCCCTGAGCACCTCCTGTGCAGAAGAATCCGAGCTAGATGTGCTGTCAGATGAATCTGATGCAGGTGCAACATCATTTCTTTCCTCATCTGATGACATTACCTGTTCCACTTTCACTGCATCTTTTTGAGGTCCAGGCTGGTCTGCGGGGGAGTCAATCACTCTGCCGCTTCTGGTGCTGTCAGGTTTGAATTTCCCTTTGGCAATCTCTTCAATCAAACGCTCAAGAAGAATCAAACTTGCAGCTGCCCCATCACGTGAATAAACCAAGGCCATGTGCATCTGTGAAGAATGGTATCCAAGCATGAGTCTATCAGGTACTGACAATCCACGCTTTGCTGCAAATGAAAGCATGGTGCACTTAAGGCTGTGACTGCTGATACGCCTCTCAGGCCCATCTGCTGTGCCCTTCTCCATGTTCAGTAAGCGGCGTAGCCATTTGCCGCACTCACCTGATTCCAGCGGTCTCTGTGTTGGCTCACCATTCTTGTCTGGCGCCGGCATGATGAGGCCTTCCGGCGGGAAAGCTAGACCCATGGATGTTCGGTGCTTCATCCAAGGTGTTGCCCAGTCACATCCATGGACACCCTTCACAGGTGCCACCATAGGAAGGAATTGATGTCGATGCATCTGTGAGCTCATGGTCTTGTGCCTCCCAGTGCGAGTCTCCAGATACGCTGGCTGCCTGTTTTCGTCGACATCCAAAAAAGCTGTCTCACTTCTCATCAGGTCGCCCCAACGTCCTCTGCAATAGCAACACAGCAAGGCGGCCCCAGCAAAGATTGCGTCCCAAATGTCTGGGGCCTCGTCCACCACTTGATGAAGCTTCTGGAGCTCCACGACTGTCAGCGGGCTCGCCTGCTTCCTTTCCTTTGGGCACGTCTCTCTGGCCACTCCGCTGCAACGTTTGCTGTCAAGCACTGTCTGTAGCTCTTGCACGTCCAACACATGTCTGCAGAAAGCTATGGCTTGTATATAGCCCTGTAATCTGCTGGCTGGAGCTCCTTGCAACTGCTCGTGACATAGAAACCTGTAAAATGTGATCTCCTTCATGGGAAAAAGTTCCAATGACTCTGATTCCAAGTAGTTGCACACTCTCAGTATGGCAGTACCACGTTTCCTGACTGTCACCGGTGCACGTCCTGAAAAAACGTGTGCAAACATGTTGAATACCTCGGCCTCATTGCGCATGTCTGCAATTTTTCCCATCAGAGAACAGCTGTCACTCCATTTGCTTGTCACTCCAGTCCAAAGCATGATTCCACGTTGCAAATCTGCATCCCTCTGTTCTGGCCATGGAACATCTGGTTTGAATGACACCACATCCATGAAGTTGCATGAGTGCATTCTACCACGCTTCAAGGAACCACCATGGTCTGTGTCCAAAACCTGTTGATCGATTCCCCAGAGTAAAGGTGTAGGCCTAGACATCTGCTCGCCCCACACGCCAAATTCAATGCCTGAATCGTCACCTCCAAAAATGTATTTCCAGATTCCGGTTTCCCAAACTTGTTTAGGTTGTTCGGATTCTGTTGAATTGAAAGCAACATTCAAAGCAGCATCAAAGTTGAAAGAGTTTGCACTGTCACGACCATGTACGTCTGCAGAGCCTATTCCATGCAGAAAATCACTACCTCGCCCTCCATAGACATCTTGTGTAGCAATTGTTGTAGGACTGCAAACTGAAAGTCCCTCCTCACCCTGCAATGGTTCTACATTCCCAAACAGGTTGTCAGTATAGGCATCGTTTGTGTCAACGTTTCCAGATTCACCTTCACGTCTCATGATCTGCAAGTCATCAGAGAAACTGTTGAAAGGAGTCCCGTCCAAGCTAACATTCAAACTACCATCAACTGAATGACCTCCAGGATTGTCCTCTGCTTTCTCCATGGTCCTAACAGCACCGACCTACCCCCATGAAAGACGAAACATTATCCGTCAATAAGGGTAAAAACCCTCCCACCCAACCCTTGAGAGAAAATGTTTCAGATGAAACAGACAATTCATCACATCTTAGGAAAGGTTGAATTTTTGGAAAACAAAAACGCGCACGAGCACAAAACAGTTTTGTTGTCAAACCAAGTTTGGTCACACAAACGTTTTGTTCTCAAATAGTTGCGTGTGCAAATAAGAGAGAGTTTCTCAAGAGAAACTCACAACATGCTTTTGAAGACTCCTTTTTCCCATGGCATCAAAACCTTCAACGAACCTCTTGTGCTCAAGAATGCATGGGATAGATGCTGCTCAAAATTTGCCTGGGGCAACGTCGGTCCTCGAGGCACTTGGCTTGCCCCTAAGTCCAGTGCACCCTGAGTTCTGTCAAGATGACTTCCTGGGAATTGCACTAAGTTTGAATCCTCCAAATCACTGTTGCTTTGCCAATTTGTGGCAACAGGTCCAAACAGACCCTCATCTGAGGCTTCACCGCTGACTGAATTGCCAAGGCCCCCAACGTTCAAGTCAGCTCCAACACGCTGCAAACCATTGTCAGAGTCAACACTGGCAACATCTGAACCACCGACAACATACTTAGTCAATGTATTGGCTCTCCACGGTATGATTGCTGGAAGTCTCACTGATGCTGCTGCTACTAGTGGAGTCCTGGTCCCAAACACCCCCACCTTGACCGGCAAGAAGCAATGCAGGTTGAACTGGAGGTGTCGGCACTGAAAATCCTGATCCCTGATAATGAATGCGAATTGCAGTGGCCGTTAACAGGAGGTCTTTGGTTTCCAAAATCAAGTACACACAAGATTGCAAATATCTCTGTGACTCCCGCGGCGACAGCAATGAGAGAATTTCCGACTGAATCTCAAACCAGCCTGGGAAGTGAATCAAAAATGCCTGTTGAGGATTGCACTCAGCAAAGCGTTCCAAACTAATCCACATGTACAAGGCCGAAAAGGAGCCACCAAATGAGTGCCAGTGCTGAAATGAAGCCAGTGCAAAAGAAACTGCAATCTCTAAAAGTCACTCGAACTGGGGCGACAGGCACCGGGCACAACACCACCGGGCTGGAAGCCGCCACACGGCCCCTGTCTCTCGCGCCCATGCACCGCGCGGACCCGGTGAGTGAAAAACAAACGAAAAATAAGGTGACCTGTTACCAAAACACACCACTGTGGAAACACTCAAAACAAACATGCAACCAAACAAGTTGACATGCAACCTCAACCAAAAAAGTATGAGGCTACCCGCCACCCTACCCTGGTAAGCCAAGATGTCGTACATTGTATTCTTCATATGGAGATGGCTGATCAATTGTAAATGAGCACTGTCATCATCGAGTGAACTTCTGGAAATTCAAGAGTTTGAAATGCCGCCACAAACATGTGTTTGAAGTTGAAAGGTAAACGAACGACAAACTGCAACTGCAAATAAGCTTGACCAAGTCTGATGTGAACATCCAAGATCCAATCTTCGAGTGATCCCTTGCAGCGAAGAGGAGGCAGCAGAACAAGGAGGATAACCAGCAGCACGAAAACACGTTTTCTCACCAACACTAGAAATAAGGAGCTATCAACAAGTTGACCGCATACATGGGGACCCCAACCTTCCAAATCCTCTGAATTGGCAAGTGATGGGGAGTCAACTTCAGATATTTCATCTCCTTGAGGTCTCTGAAAACTATCACCCAGGACATCGTTGTCCTCACCTTCATCCTGTGTCAAGTCCTCCACCTGAGGAAAACCGCGCAACATCCTAAAACAAGGGTCCACAAACGTCCAGTCACACCTGCATTTCCGATCAGATTGACCTGAACCTGTCCTCCCACCATGGTATTTCCAATCCATGTGTCCAGATGTGCCATGATCCTCTTGACAAAACTCTGAAAAATCACAACATGACATGAAATCCACTTCACTCTCTGTCGTTTCAGATGCACAACATGACATGAAATCATCTTCACTGTCTGTCGTTTCATCGTTTGTTTCAACGTTTGCCTTGAACAAAACGTCTGTTTCAATGGTATTGGGCTCATGATCATCAAAAACATGCTGAAAAAGGCGACTGCTTCCAAAATGAAACATCCTACAAACATAGGAAAACGACTGCAACATGTCTGCACTCTTCATCTGAAGCTCCCGACGTTTGGCCTTGACCTTTGCAGAACCTCCTGACCTACCCTTGGTGACCTGCGCAACCTCCTGAGTGGCAACATGATTCACAGGGTCCTTAGTCAAAGAGTCCTTAGTTCCCTTAGTTACCAGGTCCTTAGCCACAACATCCTCAGGGACAACTGCTGCAACTGAACTACAACCACAACAAGTGTTTCGTTTGGTTTGTTTCGTTTCAGTGCTGTCAGTGTTCACAGTGTTTCCAGTGTTCATGGTGCTCAAGTCCATCGGTGCTGGTCCAGAACCCTTCACACCACTCTTGTGCTTTGAAAGCAAACTGACTTTCAGCCACCATGCTCTCTCAGAAATCTTCAAAGGAAGTTTCAATTTCTTCAAAAACAATCCACTCTCCTCAGCATTGCCAAGGACTGTCTTCCAACCAGTTTCCAAAAGGGCGTAAGTTGAGATCACATTCAAAGGAATTCCTACCACTACTACACGCTTCATGGTAATCTTCGTCTTACCTACTTTGAATTCCAGATCTACAACCCCTTTGACAGGCAGATCATTGTCTCCTGCACCCTTCAAGCTTGGAGATGGACCAGGATACTCAAAACTCACAGTGTAGTGCTTGACCCACTTCTCAGAAACCATGTGGCATGTAGCCCCTGAGTCTACCAGCCAGCAGGTCTTAGGATCTCCTATCCCTACACTACCTACAAAACCCTGCAGTGTGCTGCTCAGGTGGTGTGTCACCGGTCTCTCAGTACTCGATGTCCCTGTGGCCCCCTTTGGCCCACCAGCATCTGATCCAGTCTTCACTGCAAAGGATTTGACTACCATAGCAGCCTGGTTTCCACCTCCTGCTCAACTTCTGGTTCTTGAGATTTCTCAGCCTCTGCAGGCTCTTCACCTTCTTCAAATTCTCGAAACTTTCCTCCTTTCCCTCGACCTTTGCCACGGCCTTTGCTGCCTTTGCTCTTTGCAGCAGGCTTTGCCTTGGCCTTTGCACCAGGCTTGGGTGTTGAGGAAGCTCCAGGTCGTTTGCTGGGATCCTTGGCCCAGCAGTCCTTAGCTGCATGACCTGACTTGCCGCAATGGCTGCATTTCACAGGCTGTGGGCATTCACGAGCTATTTGCCGCAGTTGTGGCAAGTGATGCCATCAGAGCCCTGCTTTGGCCCTGTAGCCACATCCACCCTGCTGTCCAGGTCGTTGGTGAGTCTCATACGTGTGTGGTATGCCACCACAGACTCCCAAACTTTGGCCACTGTTGTTGCACCACAGTGAAGTTGCACGAACTCTGCTACCCTGTCTGGCAAGTTTCGAAGGTAGAGAAGGTATTGATCCCCCTCATTGATGTGCAAGTCAGTCAGTTGACCAGCGATCAGTGAAGCTTCCAGCATAGAGTGAAATCCTTCGATCTCAGCCCCAATCTCTCTCAGTACATCCATAAGAAGATGCCTCTCTGACTTCTTCACTGTGTACTTCAGGCAGGCTTCTCTGTATTGCAACGCCTCTGGACGGCTCATCAAACTGAACTCCCTGCGCAGCAATCTCAAAAGCTCAAAACCATTTGCCTCCTGAATGCCATAGATGCAATCTGAGATTTCACCACGTTGTCTACTCTAGAGTATCCAGAAAAACTCTGCTGAAGTAAATGAAACAATCGACGGCTTCGAATTGCTTGGTCTTGATTCACAATCACCACAGGGCATGGCAAGTTCAGAGCTTCCTGGGTGTCCTCACTTTCATCAGTATCCATTACTTTGACGCCCACCGACTCCAACCACTGCTACTGCAGGCTCCCGCCTTGCAAATTCACCTGCGAGCGAGTCATCTGGCAGGACCTGAAGGGGCTGGTGAGGCTGTCGAAGATCCCTCGTCGGATGAAGAGCGAGCCACCACCGACGGGGAATCTGAGGTGGAGGCGGAAGCTGAAGAGGCGGATCTTCCTCCTGAAGAACCATGGTGCCCACCAATCCCGGACGCACCTGATGATCCCACGGAAATGGAAATCGCAGGTGCTGCTGACAAGTTGGAAACCATGATGAATAGTTCTCAACCTCAAGCCAACATCTTCTTCCAACCGAACAGCCTTGGTGCTCTACCATCCCTGTGGCTGCAGGCCAAACTCACCATTTCTTTGACGTCCATACAAGACAAGTTTGCCCGCCTTTTTATGTCTATCGCAGCTGAATTGTGGTTGAGGGATGCGATTGATACAGTGGAAGAAGTGTTTAAGCAAGTAGCCCGCAATTTCACGCTCCGGCTTGCAGAAAAGCTTGCGCAGTACATCTGCTCGCTGACCCGCCGAGCGGAGTCCTTGGCGACCCCAGAGACTGAATGCCTTCTGTATGCAACTTATTGGTTTCGTCCAATTCTCTCTGAGCTAATCGGAGCAGCCACGGAGAGTGCAGACGTGAACCGAGAACGAGCCCCCAGTGGCCCCGTGAAAGTTGTGGTCACCAACCGGCCCCACTCCCGGCGCCACAATGGTATAGACCTTGTCAGCGGAGTCTCGGCCCTCCTTGCGTGGTTTCCTGCAAGTTGGGCGAGCAAGATTGCACCGTGCTTCATAGGTGAAGAAGGTGGCTCCATACAACTGCCGCAAGAAGTTGCCATTGTCTGCCCTCATCGGGAGTTCGAAGGACTGCAAAGGGATGCTGTTGACCAAGTGCTGCAGGCAGTCAAGTTCACTGACAAGAATGCCCCTGGGCTGAACTTGGCGCTGGATGAGGAGTTCCGAACAGCCAACTGTTTCACGGAACTCATTCGTGGGTACACAATGGGAGCAGTTGAACCCTATACCATGATGGGTCTGCAACCTACTGGACCCACGAGAGTAACCTTGGAAGTCATCATACCATCCCCAACAGGACTGACTCCAGAAAAGTGGAAACAGACAGCAACTCTGTGCCCATTAGATTGGCCGTCGAATTATAGCCTTCTTAGATTGTGGCACACGACCAAAAGTTTCCACCAGTATGCTGCACAACTCAAGCAGCAAATGCAGCATCGTCATATGTTTTCCCACTGGGAAATCAACCGCATCAGGTTGGCGAGCAGGGTGCTCTTCCAGCGACCAGCTCACTATGTTCCAGAAGCCACGCTCATGCAACATGTGCGAGAACGGGAATTTCCCGATAGGCGGTTACGTAGGAAAACGCAGGAGACTGACAGGGTTGCCTTTCAGGCCAAATGTAATGAACTGCGGCTCCATGCTGCTGGGCAGGAGAGGCTGAATCCTGTCTCCTTTGCAATCGGGAACAGCTGGACTGACACTCTCCGAGCAGATAAACAACATTACCTTGAATATACTACACGGAGTATGACGTAGCGACCCTCCCCCTTTCTTCTCCTCCCCCTTTGACTTGGTGTGCCTCGTTTACACCGTGTCGGTCTTCTGTGCCAATTGGCCCTGGGCACCGCTTAGTGACTTGCTCCCACTTGCTGTTGCGTGGTGGGGGTCTTTTTGCTTGCTTTCTTGGGGTCCTGTCCCCCTCCTGGCCCCCTTTTTGCGCTTTCTTTGTTTGGGCCGTGCTTTCCTTGCCCTCGGTTTGTCTTTGGTCTTCTCTTCGTTTCCTCTCGTGCCAGGCTCCTTTTTGTTGTGTTTTGTTTTGCTGGTGTTTCTGCCTGCGTTTTTGCGGGTGTCTTCTCTTTGGCCTTTGTGTGCCACTCTCGGTGTGGTGGGGCTTCCTTGTTTTTGTTCTTTGCTTGGCTGTTGCCGGCTCCCCTCCCCCGCCTGTTGTTGCTTCCCTCCCCCCTGTGGTTGGTCCCTTGCGGCGTCCTGGCCCAGTTTCTGTGCTGGTCCCTCCCTCTGGGTATCTGGTTGCTTTTGTGACGGCCCGGTTGCCTTGCCTTAATGCTTGGGGTGTGGTGGTGCTTTGTCGTCCTCGCTTCATCTTGTCTCATGGCAGCAAAGGCCTTTGGCCCTGTGTGGGGTTTGTGTTACCCTCTACACCATGGTGCATGTGTTGTTGTGGTGCTCTGTA